CTTCTTCAAAACCATTGGGGAAATATTATATGGCCCAGAAGCCTTTTCATTCATTAAACTTCCCAATTTTTCTTAACCAGCTCAGAATTAATGTAGTCATCTTGTTTCCATCTATCAACTGTTCAAGATGTGGAATACTGTTTAAATCTTCGTTAGTAAAAACCAAAGAAAAAGCAAAATTTAATAATCCAGCCATCTCATAATCATCAGAAATTACGCCACCTTTTCTCATTCCTCAAGGGTCCTATCCCCATCCTAACATTTTGTTTACCCTTAATATATTTAAAGAAATCTATCCAACTAGTATCACTTTACTTGTACTTTTTATTGCAGCATTTATTTTGTTTTGTATATTTCTTATAGCAATTCAATGAATAACAAACGACCCCTACTTTCCGTTAAAATTTTAATTTTTTTTTTTTACTTATTTATGTAATGAATATGGTTGAGAGAATAACTATCACAGTACTTGTATACATTTACTGAAAATTAATTATATGGTTCCAGAAAAACAAATTTTATTGAAAAATGATGTTCAGTGTGACCTGCACTGTAACTTACTTAATTGATTCCTCAGCATCCAATGATAATAAATTAGCTTTGGTGGAATGTGAATAATACTAAATAATATACAGGGCATTTATGTAGAAAACCCCATATTTAAAATAATTGCAACTTAAAAACATGGTGGTGGTCTGAGGGCTTATAACACTAAAAAATTCAGGTTTTGATACCAATGGTTGGCAGAGCACAGATAGTCCAGTGTGTAGCTTTGTGTATAACAAACAATAAACTAACAAACTTAAAAACAACTATTCTTAAAGTGGACTAAGTTTTACTAAAGGCTCATTAAGAATAATGTTTTATTTAAGAAAGTCTGGATGTGGTGTTTCAAAATCTGTCGCAGAAAGCTTCCAGTATGCTTTCTGTCTCTAGGTTATCACTAAATACAGTTTCTGTAAGTATCATCTGTTATGGACAGAGTTTATTGATCCTCACATTATCCTGTACAATGACAAACATTACAGTCTTCAATCTTTTTGTTGAAAGAAAAAGAGAAATAAAGGCAGTTCTTGTTTGCAAGGAAACTATTTAGGTATGCAGTTGTTATGTGGTTTTAAAACACCATATACCATGTTCAAACTCATATGAATAAAACAATAAAACTTATGATTCTGAATTTGCATCTATTTAAATTTTGTTCCCCCTATGACAAGAACTTTTTAAGATAAAATTTTAAATATGAGGTTTCCTTTATAATCAACCTATGTGCATATGTGTACTTTAAAAGCAGTGAATGTCAGTGTATTTTCTTTACATGTATGCTCTATCTCAAAGATGTACTTTTTTTCATTATTTATTAGATCAATAATTTGCTGGAGAACTACAGAGTGCTTGCTCAGCGGGAAAAGTTAGAAAAGGAACGGAAAAAACTTAGTCAGCGTTGTGGTTACCAATACTTTTCTGTATGTAAATATTTTTCAAATTCTGAACATAGTGGTGTACTTGTTTTTCATGTCCAAAATCTCAA